TGTTTTCAGTATTTTGGACCGTTTTGTGGGTGATTTTTCGATCTCAACTCTTATGCAGAATAAGAAAGATGGGGAGCAGTGAATTATTACAGCTGTTTATGGCCCTACAGTATTAAACCAAAAGGAAGCATTCTGGGCGGAATTGGACTCAGTTGTGGGCAGATGGGGTAAACCTTGGTTGCTAGCGGCGGGTGACTTCAATATTGTGTTGCTATCATGAGAAGAAGAACTCCAGACTCATAAGGGAAATGATGGAGTTTGATGATTTTGTTAGTAGATGGCAGTTCATGGATCTTCCCCTTCCGGGCACTAGATACACTTGGAGTAGGTTGAGATCCACTCCAGCTATATGTCATGACTGGACAAATTCCTGGTAAATAGTCAGTGGGAAGATATGCATAGCTCTTTATCTCAACAAGCCCTTCCAGGCCAACTTCAGACCACAAGACCAATCCTCTTAAGGGTGGGTGCTGTGCAGAGAAAGGGTACTCCTTTTAGATTTCCTGGTTTTAAAGAAAAATTGGAGGTCTGGTGGAGAGAATCCACTGAGGACCCTTCTTGCCTTATGCTTTTGGGCAAATTGAAGTACCTAAATCAGCAAATAAAGGTCTGGTACAGGAAAGAGTTGGGGTGCATTCAAACAAGGAAAAAGGATTGGCTTGAAAAATCAGATTCTTGGACGAGAAAGAGGAAGCTGGAGATTTATCAGGGGTAGAAAATTCACTGAATGAGCTGGCAAGGAATGAATATAGCAGACTGGCCTATATGGAAAAGATTAGGTGGAGGCAAGGTCGAGAGTTCAGTGGTTGAAGGAAGGAGACAACAACACTGCCTATTTTCATAAGATAGCAAGTGATGGGCAGAGAACCAATGCTATTTCTCAAATTGTAATCGACAATAGGCAATTTGAGGATGAAAAGGAGGTGTCAAAGGATATAGTTAAGTTTTGCAAAAATATGTTTGCAGCCCATAATGTGGTCAGACCAAAGCTGGATGGCCTTCATTTCTCCCAAATCTCAACCCAAGAGTCTGATGTGCTTGAAAAACCTTTTGAGAAAGGTGAGATCTGTCACACAATTGAAGAATTGATCAGGATAAGGCACCAAGGCAGATGGTTTGCCCATCGCTTTCTATAAGGGGTGTTGGGATTTCATTAAGCAGGATTTGATGGCAGTGTTTCATGATTTCCAGGCCAACAATTTTATATCTGAAGCAGCAAAGCATACTTTCATATCCTCACTTCCAAAGAAAAAGGGGGCTGTGGACATAAAAAACTACAGGTCAATAAGCCTTATTGATAGCATTTGCAAATTGATTATCCAAAGTCCTTGCAAACAGGCTACAAAAAGTGTTCAGTTCCATTATTTCTTCATCCCAAGGAGCTTTTGTAGATGGGAGGCAGATCTTAGATGGTTCTTTGGTAACAAACAAATGTATGACTCAAGTATGAAAACTGATTTACTGGGTATTATCTGCAAATTAGACATGGAAAAAGCTTATAACAAGTCCAATGGAGTCTTGTTATACCCCCATTCACACAGAAAGTGAATGGGGGTATGCCTATCGGCAGCGGCTCCATCCTAGTAAATGGTATTCCCAGAGGTTTTTTTGCTGTAGAGACAGAGATGATGCAAGGTGATCTCATCTCCCCTTTCCTTTTCATCACTGTGGGCGAAGCTCTTAGCAGATCAGAAAGTAAAGCTGTGGAGGGGGGTCACTTGGAAGGTTTTAAAGTTTCAACAAACAGTGAAATTGTGACTTTGCTTCAATTTGCCAATGGCTCCTTGATTTTTCAAGGTTGGTAGGCCAAGGACTTGATTTTCTTGAGATTTTACTGATTTGTTTTGAAGCTGCTTCAGGCTTGAAGATCAACCTCCAAAAAGTGAATTGATTCTTGTGGGTGAGTTCACAAACATTGCAAACCTTGGAGAAGTCTTAGGATGTAGGGTTGGACCCCTGCCTTCCAAGTTTTTAGGGCTGCCTTTGGGAGCAAACTATAGACCAAAAGAGATCTGGGACTTGGTGATTGAGAAGGTCTCACAAAAACTAGCAAGATGGAAAAAGTTATATCTTTCAAAGGGTGGGAAGACACTGATTCAGAGCGTTCTTTCAACTCCACCTACTTTTTTTTAGAAGAAACTAACTTTATTCAAAGAGAGAAAAGGTACATGAGGAGATTTACACAGAGATTAAGAACTCAAAGAGTTATACAGGAAGAAAGCTATCACTAAAAAGTAAACCTTGTGAACACCAGCCTTTGCTAGACCATCAGCTACAGAGTTTAGCTCCCTCAGGACCCAGCCCAAATGTGCATTCAAAGTTGAAAGAATGTCTCTTGCTTCAGCCAAATAGTGAGCTAAGGCCCAAGGACAACCATCAGTATTAGCTAGCCAACTAATAGTATTGGCAGAATCTCCCTTAATGGTGAGATTCAAATAACCCAGGTCTCTTGCAATCCTGATGCCAGTTAAGGCTGCCATGACTTCAGCCTTTGTTGAAGAGGCTATCCCAATTGGTCTACTAAAGACCCAACTAATGATGCCATCTCTTCTTCTAAAGACACCTCCAATTCCTGCTGCACCTGATTACTGAAGACACTTCCATCAAAATACAAGGTTGTCTCCCCTTCCTCAGCAGCTCTGCAGTTGCGGGGAGTGGTGTACATATGTTTAGAACAAAGGAAGTTTACAGCATTCCTTTGAAGGTCAGAAATGGAAATACCTCTAAAATACTCTGAACTGGAAGTCCACAGGAAGCATCTATAGGAGATGATGGAAATGAGCTCCTCATATTTTCTAGTTCTGTTGTTGAATACACGATGGTTTCTCTCTTCCCATATGCTCCAAATAATAGCGTGAGCAGTAGATTGCCACAACATCTTCCCTCTTTATTGCTCCTGCTTCAGTTCTAGTTTCCTTGGAAAAGCTTCAAAGAGATTTCCTATGGGATGGGAGAGAGGAAGAGAAGAGGTTTCATTTGATTGTCTGGTCAGAAGTCTATAAGCCAAAAATTCAAGGTGGTTTAGGTGTAAGACCATTGAAACAGATCAACAGAGCTCTTCTTTCAAAGTGGCTGTGGAGGTTTGCTCTTGAAAAGCAGGATTTCTAGAGATCTAATATAAGTTGCAAGTATGAAGAAACTGATTTGGGGTGGGAAACAAATCCTGTGAACAAGTCCTACAGCACAAGTTTGTGGAAGGGAATCATGCAGAACAGGGAGGAGTTCTTCAAATTTGTCACCTTCAAAATAGGAAATGGAGAGAAAGTCCTTTTCTGCAAAGACAGGTGGTGTAGCACTCCATAAGCCAAGCTTTCCCTATTTCCCATGTATCTACGCCTTAGCAGCCAATAAATCAGCCAAGATCAGTGATTGTTATGAAACTTTAGGTGGCCAGCAGGTTTGGATTCCTCAATTGCGAAGAGAAGTAAATGACTGGGATTTGGAGGACCTCTCAAACATGACGCTACTGCTAGGAGTAAAACCCCAGCCCGCTATTGAAGACAGGTTAGCGTGGTTAAGCGAGAAATCAAACTGTTTTACAAGTAAAATCAATGTTTAAAAATCTGATTGGCTCCTCAAACCAGCATGTGGCCTGGGGCTGGACCTGGAAGTTGAAGATCCCTTCTAAGGTGATTTATTTTCATTTGGTTGGCTGTGAGGGAGAAGAACTCAAACTATTGGTCTGCTACAGTCAAAAGGAATGTTCATTATTAACCATTGATGTTTATGTGGGTTGGCAACAGAGTTTGAATCATACCGTCATCCATTGCAAGTTTTCCACCGCAGTTTGGTCCCAACCTGTTTGGGGTTTCTGTGCTGTATCTCATGATCTTTTCCTTTCTTTTTTTTTTTTTTTTTTGCTTGATCGATAACAGGGGCTGTAAATCACTAATCTCATCCTGGAGTTTGGAAGGCCTATCAAAGAGGGAAAAGGTACTCTGGGGAATGGTGCTGGAGAGGTCTCTGGTGAAATGGGCTACCATCTACGGTCTTTCCAGAGGCTTTAACCTTAGTCACTTCTACAGCCACTGGGATAGAATCATTTGGGACAAAAACTTTGTCTTATGACCTGTACTCTGTTGTCTCAATGTGCTGTTTGTGGGGTTAATCTCGGTGCTTTGTATTAAAGGAATCTCTCCCGTAGTTTTTTATTTTCCATCTTAATAAAATTTCTCTCACCTTTCAAAATCATAAATAAATAAATCAGCATTTAACATAAGGTAAAAACAAGAGATTGACCTAGTCTAATCACCTGAGCAATTAATTCTGTCATTGTTTCCAATCAACCCAAATAGGCTATTAGTGAACTATTATATAAATTAAAAAAAATAATAAAAAAAGACTTATGAAAGTACAAATTAAGTTGATAGGTAATACAATTTGTAGGTCCAAGCATGTTCCATCACAGACCACTGCAATGGACAAGTATTCATTCTTGACAAGTGTCTGTCTTCAATCAATTATTGGCACTACTATTTTAAAAACAAAATGCACAGAATAGTATCTATTATATTGTATTCTGTTGTAAAACAATAATACATGGCTAAGCTGTTGTGTCAAAGGAACAAATGTGTGTGTTGGGATCCCAGTTGCATGTGTAAATACATAAATGAGAAATCATACATTAAATTAGTCAGTATGTTGTTATCATGGTCGGGTGATCAAAAGCCAAAATAATCACAAATAGAATGCATGTCAATTTTGTCCAAAGGTAGCAGATAATGATATATCATGGATGGATGATCAAAAGCCAAAATAATCACAAATAGAATGCATATCAAGTTTGTCCAAAGGTAATATATCAGAATAGATACATAAAAGCACATATATGATTTCCTAGTACTAAACGCCTAGAACTAGAATGTATATTAACAAACTTCATCAACAAAAAGCATACAAGTCCATCCTTACAGTCAATAAGAATTTTGCAAATATAATATGCATCTAAGTAAACACATCAAAAGGAAATAAATAAACATGGATAATATTATACAGCATACCATTTTAGCGGGAGTATATTTCCAAAACTGATAGCACCCTTTAATTACCTAAAAGAAGGGTAGAAAATCAAAAATCAGATAAATAGATGAGTTGGTGATGGGAAATTATAGCATTCATAACAACCGATCTTCCAATCAATTAAATACTAACTTCAATATGCTCAAATTTTAAAGTTTCAAAGGAAATGAAGTCTTTGTTACAAAACCAGTGGTCCAAGTGGAGATCCATTTATAAGATGAGTTTTAAATTTCAAAGAATAAAACATCGAAGAAAGATATCGTGTATAAAGCTAGAATTAACAAGTTAGAATTAATAATAAGAAACCATGAGACCCACAAATAATTCAAACACGAGCAAATGGAACATAAAATCTCCGTCTGCATAATGAGTTTAAACTTCAAAGTTTAAATGCCAGAGAAATGAACATTTACAACCAAAAAATAACAAGAAGGAACCAAGAATCCAACCTGAAATATTTAACTGCAAGAAAATCCAATGCAAGATGTTTAATCAGTTTTAACAAGTTGAGATCTACTGGCATGACAAGTTAGAGAAGATATAGCAAACCACGATCCAAAGTATGGACCAAAACTAACAAAATGGAGAGTCATGCAAGGAAAAGCACTTTTATGAACAAATGGAACATGAAGACGATTATATGGAAAAGGAGAAATAAGATTCAAAGGAAAAATAGAAGTTATATCAAAATTCTCCAGTTTAATCATACATTCTGTAACTCTAACCAATCTAATTAACAGTATAGTTCACCTAAATAATCCAGTAAAAACCTATATAAACACGAGGAGTTCTAGCTCATATGAAACAGCCAATTTTTCATACCTAAAATCCAATTGAAAAAGAAAACACATAAAGTGACATCAAGAACCAGAATAATTTGATGCACAATATGCAATACCTTGAGAAGATAGAAAGCATGCGAGGATGAGAGGGCAGCAGTCTCGGAAGCTAGGGGGAAGAGATGACTGCAGCCCCTTTTTGTGAGACTTAAGGGAAGTAACAGAGCCGCTGGATCATCGACTATTGGTACAAGGTTACACACGGGCTTGCACACTGACAAAACAGGTAGAGAGAGAGAAAGGAAAAGGAAAAGCTAAGGCCCCATTTGGAATCAACGTTAGAAATTCTCATTCTCAAAATCCTTCCAAGAAAGAATGGATTCTTTGAATTTTCATCCAAACAATTTGTAGAAGTTTTTTGGCATAGTCATTTGATTCATGCTTCATAATCAGAATCACATTTGGCATCACCCTATTTCTTGGAATCAATTCTCTAGATGAGTGATGCATAAAACCATGTCAATTATAATAAATATAAATCCACTTGAAGTTACATTGTACTCTTACATTTAAATCATTATCAGATACATATAAAAGAAAAGGAGAGAAATCACATTTCCTTGGAATGAAGCTTCTGTAGACATCTGAAATTGGTTGCCTCTTGGTATCATCCCTCCAAGTTTGTTCCGTGAGATGTTTAGGAATGAAAGAAACGTCAGGCTTTTCTAGTTGTTACGGATCTTTCCACTCAGTAGCTTTTGTGAGAGGTCTCTAGCTGCTTTAAGTTCCCCATGGACGAAAAGCATTTGTCCTATGAGAGCATTGTGTGACAAGTTGAGAATATGGAGTGATGCGAGGTTCCCTATCCTTGGAATTTGTTGTTTGACAAGTCAATGGAAGTGAAGATGGTTAAAATCTTCACCAGCTCAATTTCTATCCCTTTATTTGTTAGCATCACTGTATCCTGATAGTAAACTTGGTAGAACTCTAGGAACTTGAACCTCAGTGTCTCTATCTTGTTCTCTGATTGGGTCTCATCTTCCTCCACGGTCATTGCTTTCCAACTCAAAAAGACTTCCGAGGACAAGTTACCCACAAAGTCATTGGATGAGAGATCAATGGTTGGTAGCCTTGGGAAGGTGTGATCAGTTCTTCTGATGGGTCCATGGAAATGGTTAGACTGTAGAATAAGGACTATTAACTATATCAAGCTTTCCAACCAAAATGGAAGGCATCGTTTGTTTGATGGTTCCCAAGGTCTAGAAATAGAACCTCTAGCATTTTGCAATTGCCAAGAGTCATTGGAATTGATCCTTCTAACTCATTCCCATTGAGATCAAGTGTCATTGGACTACAACCAATTGGAAATGTCTGAGGTATACTTCCTTTGAAGTTGTTTTGCCCTAGGTTCAATACTCCTAGTGTCCGAGTGTTGCTACCAAGACAAGTTGGAACCATGTTGCTCAAGTTGTTATTGGACAGGTTAAGAACTTGATGGTTGCTAGCATTGCATATTGATGTGGGAATTTCTCTGTGAAGCTTATTGTTTGAGACAAAGAAGAAGATGGTAAAGGAAAGGTAAGAAGAGATATTGGCTGGGATGGTAGAGGTGAAGTTGTTGTTTGAGTAATCCAAATAGGTGACAACTGATGAGAGAATTGGAACTGGCCCTTGGAGCAGGTTGGAATGATGGTCAACAATGGCCGAAGATCTAGAGTTTGGATCAGGCAATGGTTCCTCTAGATGGTCCAAGAAGTTGCAAGAAAGATTTAAGTGAACAATAATCCCACTACCAGCATTCCAAATCCAGTTGGGTACAACCCCATGGATTTTGTTGTTAGAAAGATCCAGAAAGCTCATTATTGATTGGTTTACTCTCAGCCTCTCAGGAAATTTGGTAATTCTATTAAATTGCAAGAAGCCAAACTCAGTGAACCAATCTGAGGGAAAGAGAACAAGCTAGCATCACTTACATAGGTATTGACGGACAATCGCTTTTGAATCTTCTCTAGATGTACAGTCCCATTGAAGTTGTTGAAAGAGAGTGAAAGTATATTAACAAATAGTGTGGCCCTTGATAGAGGAATGGCAAGACAGGATTAATCATTCATACAACCAATCCTAGATAGCCAATACAAGGCCTGCTGAGTGAATTGAGTCATCTCAAATCTGAAATTTGATACAAGAGTTTGCCTTTCTCACTATTTTTGTTATATTTCCTATACTTCAAGAAGATTTGGAAATGTCTCCACAAGTTCTCTATGTTCCCATTTCTAAAGGAACCAAAGTAAAGTAGCAGATAGATATATTTGAGTTCTGAACCATCATTGTCAAGTACCCAATATTGAATAAAAACAACTATTCTTTTCAACCAAAAAAGAAAATAAGGGAAAAAACCAAGTCTGATACATTCTGCTAAATCAAATCATAAGAATATCACGTTATAAAACAAAATGGGCTCTGCAAAGAAGAGCTTATACTATGAGATTAGCAGTAATACAAGTTATAGATAATACAACAATAATAGAAGGAAATATCAATTACAGATTTCAGTCAAAAGAACTGACAGTCACTACCACATCAAGATAAAAGAAAATAATAAACAAACAAAACAAACAGAACTACTAATATTTAATATGACGATTGCTTACATGGTTGAGGAATCAGATTAAACAGCTGCAAAGGGCAGCTTCATTGAACACAACCACAACATAAAAAACGCAGATCCATTCAACACAACCACAAAGCATAAAAAACAAACCGAAAAGCTACCGTCTGAAATTGCGATCTGTGTTTTCAACAGAGTATAAAACGTTGAAAACATGTAGAATAATAGAGAAGCAAATGATTGAAAGAGAAAAAAAGCAAACCAATACAAAAAAAGTAGAAGATAGTTTACCTGGATTTTGCGAGGTGGGTTCTGAGATCTAACGTTCCAGAACAATAGAGCTTGAAGACACCTTGAAAAAAATTTCAGAACAGAGGCAAAGGGAATGCCGTTTGAAAGAGACAAAAAATGAGTGCATGATAGAAAAAAAAAATGAAGAAAACACGAAGAAAACAATGTGATCTTTACCTGAGAGCCTGTCGGTTGCCTTTGAGAAGAAAACACAGAGCCGTTGGAGCTTGGAGAAGTGAGAATCTAGCATCCTTAGAAACGACTTTATCGTTTCCGACAATCGCGAATTTGGAGTGCAAATTGCATCCAGAAATGGAGCAATTCTCCGGAGCGGGCAAATTCAAACTGCATACTACATTACTACTCCAGAGATTCGCGATAATCGCCAGAAACGATTCTCGGAGTGATGCCAAATGGGTCTTAAAGATGCTACTTACGTGTATTATGCTCTCTAGTTTCCCTGCTTTTCTGATATCAGCTAACGCCACGTAAGCATAGAACAAGCAACGTCAGATTAGACAGTAGTATGTTATCGGAACACCGTGACGTGCGCCTAATGGTTTGGCTCTTTCTATGATTTTCTTATTTTATTTTCATTCTTTTTTTGGTTTATTGAACAAGTGTATTTTTATTTTCATTTTAGTTTCTATTTATGAATACTACCTTTCTTACGGGTAGGGCTGTTCATGGGTCGGGTTGGGTCGGTTTATTGGCGTTTTTCCAACCGACCCGATCTGGTCAGTTTACCTAGAAATGAAACTGAAACCGACCCAGTACTAAGTAAAATCGACCTGGTCGGTTTGAATCGGTTTGGGTCGGTTTTGTGAATGATTCTCTCAGTGTGAACGGTAAAGGATTCAAGTCTAAGAAAGCAAAGGCTGGATGCCTGGAAATTAAAAATGATTTGATGGATTAAAACTGATCTTTTATATATCAGATATTTTATATATAATATCTATATTTCTGAAATAAAGCTGAAATATATATATATAATATCTGAAATATTATATATATAATAAATATCTAAGTCGGTTCGGTTTCGGTTTTCACACACACATGAAAACCGAAAGCGAACCAAACCATCGGGTTGGATCGGACCGGATTGGTCAGTTTTGGTCTTGTTATGAACAGCCCTACTTACGGGGATCAGGATTTGCTTTTACTAGGGGTGTAACTTGGGTGGGCCAAACCCGAGCCCGGATCAACGTAGTTTGAAATTTTACATGGGCGGGCTTGGATTTTTGGTCTTCAAAAAACTAGGCTTGGATCTAAGACTTCAAGCTTTATTTTCGAACTAGGCCCGAGCCTAGCCTTTAGATAGCCTGAACCCGACCCTACCTTATCCCAATCCAACAACTATACACATTCATATATATATATATATATTTGTATAAACATTTATAATATTATATATACGTGTATATTAAAATGGGTTTATTGACCAATTTGAGCCCAGTTTGGGCCCAAGTCTAACCCAAAAGCATCAAATTACAGTGCAAGTTGGGCTCAAGTTAGGAAGATTGGACATGACCCCGGGCTCAATCCAAGTTCGGGCCTTAGGCCCAAATCTTAGTGTTAGGCCTGGGTTTACCATAAATCCAGCCCAACCCACCCTACTTACCCCCCTACTCCTTATAGAGCACTCTTAACACCAACCTCAAGGCAAGTCTAACTATGTATTTGGAACATCTCCCTAATAATAACACACAAGTACGAAAGATGCTCCTAATGTGCAACTTAGTTTTGCTGTGAGGTGTTAGTTGTATGTTCCAAAACCAATTGTGTAATGTTCAATTTTGTACTATTCACATTTATTAACAAAAGACCATTTTTGTCATTTAAACTTTTTAATAGTAATAGTGTTTGATAGCACAAACACATTAGCTAAGACACAAATAAGTAGAGAAACACATCTTGCAACATGATGTACATACCACCACTCAAGCTAAGTGATTGTTGGTCAAAAAGAACTCATACTAGTTTAACCAACACTTGAATTTGTCTTCTTTGTCTTGATAGCCGAAGATCTGATTATGTGATATTTTGTTATGTAAAACAACTTCATTTTTTGAATTTATTTTATTTTTAATCGAGGTCTTGTTTTTAATGTTAGCATCAGAAATGATTGGTTGATAATTTGCATAACCCCATTAAAGTCTTTAGAGCATATTCACAATAATAAAGTTAAGCTTAGCATGTTTAATAGCAGGATGGCAACCGAGTTAGATAGGGAAGAAGTCAAACTAGGTCCCAATAGTGCATAGTGGTCTGATGTAAAGGCAGAGACTTTCATTAGTCTAATGGTGGCACAAGTTAGGGCAAGCAAGAGGCCTACATCTTTTTTTAACGCAAAAGGGTGAAAAGTACATCCGCGAGAAATTTAACTAGAAAAATAACAGGAATTATGTCCATTCTCAGTTCAAAAACAAGTATAATCCACTTAAACAGCATAAAAAAAGCAGCATTTAACCCTCCTTAACCACACAAGTGTGACTATAGATCCATTAATGAAAAATCCTACTACAAATGAAGAAGTTTAGCAAAGCCTGATAAAAGTAATTTTGCCTTAAACCCACTCATTTATTTTAGTTTAGAATGGTATAAAATCTAATTAATTCCTCATATTGTGTAGACTCATTGTTGGGCATGATCATTTAGGATACAAGTTTATCATCATTGGGATGAGTTAGAATACATTTTCGGAGGAACACGGGCAACTAGGGACATGAGATATTCACTTGAAATGGGTCTTGATGATTATGTCCCTATTTTAGATAGCCCACCACCAATTGTCATGTTAGGTGATCAAGGGACACCAAATAACTGGAGAATCTCTCGCCAGTCCATACATTGTTGACCCCAGCGATGATGTATTAGAGATGTCAAACCGTAAGAAGATAATTGGCAAACTATCCACTAGCATGAAGAATGAGAAGAAACAATGTCTTCCACCTGAACTTGATTTAATGATTAATTCATGGGTAGAATTCAACAAGAAAAGACTTGAAATCTTATAAAAGGAAAGCTCATAGGATCTTGATAAGCAATGGGAAATGGAAATGAAAATGGAGAAGGAGGTTTGCAGTACAAGGGAAAGAATGATAGAAATAAAAAGGGCAAAGGTTTGAGAAATGAAAAATGAAAGAAATCTAGAAAGGGATAGATTTGACAAGGCTTGTAAGAAGGAGAAAATTAAGGAATGCATTAAAATCCTTAATTCCATATTTTAAGTTGAGAAATTATCTTCAACTTGCTATTTCAAGGCAACCAAGTTGTTTATGAAAGAGAAATGAACACTTTCTTTGCTATGTCTACAAAGGTTAGGAGTTTTTGGCTCAATGGATTGAATGATGAGCCATCAAACCCATGATTTATAGAAAACTTTTCCTTTTTTTGTGTTTGATTGACTCTGAACACTTTTGACTAATGGTCTTTTTTTTATTTTTTATTTTTTGGCAATGGGTGATGACCTCTTATGCTTACATGCACTCCCATTTATTTTAGATGATGACATTTTTAATGGTTGATAACACTTTTGTTATATGTTGAGATTTACATTATTATATGCTAGTTATAACCATGGTGTGTGATGCTTATTTTGATTTCATTAATTATAATGTTATAGTTTGTCATACAACAATATTCTATGGATCCTCATCAGTGTCAATGAAAAAGGCATATTATTGATTCAGATGATGAGGAGGAAATGATAAACTTCATTGTGACTTCCTATACACTACACTTGTATTGTCTATAAACAAGAAGGCAGAGCGTTGCATGATTTCTTCTTTGATCGGACATACTTATGTGTGGAATGAAGTCCTCAATGACTTAGAACACGTAGATAGACGTTACAATTCATTTAAGATGGAACATGTCTTCAAAAACCTGGCCTCTCTACTTGCATTCTTCCCCCTCACAATTAGTTATAATGAGAGGAACCGCCTAATGAGTGAGCAATTCCAACATTCTTTATTAACCATCAATACACATGTACGGAAAGTTGTTTATGCAATTTGCAAAATAGGGAATGAGCTCATAAGGCCACCTATATCCACTGAAGTTCAACCATTCATTAGGAAATCTAAGAGATACTACCCAATGTTCAAGGTAACTACACTTCCTAGTCTATAGTAATTTGGGTTCTCTCTACATATGTTGTTCTAATTATATTTATAATTGTGATTAAGATTGTATAGGGGTTATAGATGGTATACATGTATTAGCTAGTGCCCCAGTCATTGAACAAATACCGTATAGAAGAAAGAGGAGATTTGTACAACAAATGTTTTGGTTGTTTGTGATTTTGACATTTTTTTTACCTTTGTATAATACATGGGATATAAAGGATCAACACACGATTCAAGGGTACTGGCAAAAGCACTTAGTAGGCCCAATGTAGGTTCCGTAAACCACCTCCAGGTGAAGTAACATTTCTTAGAATTGCCCTTCATCAGTTGTCTTCGTCATTTATGTGCCCTCATATCTAGAATTCAATGCAGGAAAGTACAACTTTGTTGATTATGGATATGCTAATGCTTCTGGTTTCCTTGCCCCATACTCTGGTGAACGACACCACCTTAGTGAGTTTAGGAGACATTTCAATAGATTTAAATTGAATGAAGACATTTTCAACTACACTCATTCCTCACTACATAATATCTTTGAACATTGCTTTGGGATCTTGAAGGGTAAATTCCCATCATGAAAAATATGCCATACTATTAATTAGACGACTTTCTTGTAATGTCATATTTTATAATATAAAACTTAATAAAAGGAGAGACACATAAGGATAAACATATAGATGAGCGTGCAAAGGATTATAAAAATGACTCAGATGATGATGGTTCGAGTGGCAATGATGATGACAAAGACCACACTGCAATTGCACTGGGTTCGTGTAGAGAGATGGACATGGTTAGAGATCGAGTTTCTTCTAAGATATGAGAGAAGTACTAAAAGTCTATCTAGCGGGTTACATAGATTTGTGGTTTATGCCAAAACATGTGAACCCTGATGTTAGGATTCAAATTAAGATGTTGGAATTTAAACTATGGTAGTGTTTATGTTTGTTATGGATTGAACTTCATTACTATTTTATCTATTTTAAGTTTATGTGTTTTTATAGTCATTTGTTGATCACCATTGGATGTTTACTATACAAGTTATCCATGCAAAAATGACTAATGAGATGTTTTTTATCAAATTGCTCTTATGGTAAAGGGGAGATGGCATTATATATGGCAAATACGAAAACTAATTTTGGGTGATGGTTTTTACATTGCCCAAAAAGGAGTAACCATAGGGGTTCATTTGTATGGGTAAATGAATATGGTGGAATCGACCATAGAGCATCTAGGGCAAAAGTTATCCAACATAGTTCATCTACCATACAATCACAACAAAACAATATATATTTTGCACTCAATGCTTGTTGTGGT